ACAGCCATCAGACAGCATTTACTAAACAGAAGAAACATTTATAGTTAGCATTTCAGTAGTTTACCTTCACTTTCAGTCTATAATCCCAAGAATACAATAACCATTAAAATATGCTCTAATTGAAAAGTCATAATATTAACAGCCGTGATTTGAAATATTCAATCAATCATCTTCATAAACTGATGCCAGAATTTGTTTACATTATTCATATCAATACTGAAATTGTAAAATGGTAAATATTTGTCTCGGCCGTATCTCCCAGTCTGGTGCCAGCCGTTAGATTAAATTTTCCATGTTTGTAGAGGCTCATATTAAATGACTCTAGTGCCATGTTTGTTACTGGCATATGGTTTACAAACCGAAGATCTGATTACAGAGTCTTGGGATGTGTTTTCACAAGTATATTTTATTCATTAGTGAGACACTCACAGAACGATCTTTATGTACATACAAAAAACAATTTCTGGTGACGGGAATTACTAAATCTATACAAACCTAAATCGATGCCAATTGAATATGCTTTTATGTCCTGTGCTATAATTTTAAAGGCACCCTGAAATCAGAAGTGCTTAAATTAAATAATAATAATAATAATAATAAAAAAAACGCCACTCCAAATCAAAAGCAGTCGTTTTTGATTTGCAGTAGCATTGTACGCTTTGTACATTGTACGTAGTTTGCTATCATTATAGACTCTTGTTGACCTATTTTATCACTCGACAAAATAGGAGCCGACATTCCTTAACTAACATTTTCCAGTTAACTGCAGCAACTAAAAAGCATTGAAAGTTTTACACAATCTCTGGCAACCGCAGCAATCCCCATGCACTGATTCTGAATTACAAAAACAAGAAATGAGTTTGAGCAAGTTTATATCACTGTTACACACTGTACGGCTTATGTGAGTCTGGTCAATTTGAGAGACTTTTAAATAAATTTGAAGTGGACTCACTTTAAACTTGGGGTGCACGATAACTATCGGGTCTATAACGGGAAATTATGACGACATTCTGGTCAATATCATATGCATTTAGCCCCTATAACAAGTTTTTTGTCAGCTCAGCCGTGCTTTGCTAAACCTGAGACATTAAATGATTCTGCCTTCAAGTAACATCATCATCATCACCACCACCACCATCAGTGGTGTGGGACTTCGTTAAACTTTCTGACGATGACAGTTTGGTAGTTTACTACAACAAATGCACAAAGCAAGTTCCATAGCGCTAGCTTCAACACCACAAAAAGAGTGTTGAAAGCATTTAAGGACCCTCAGGCTCCTGGAAACGTTAACAACCGTACCTCTAGGAAGCCAACAGGTTTCACAAATATCCGTGAGGCTTTTGACAACGCGAAACAATTTGCCAGACATGACCCATGAGCTAAGGCTATTGACTATTTAATAATTGAAATGATAGTGCTTGACGACCAGCCCTTCGCCCTTGTTGAGGACTCTTTATAATCACTTTTGTTTTTTTATAATGACATAAAAGCATTTCCTACCACATACAGAAGACGACACGTACAACGTATATGAATGGTGCTGTCACAATTTGAACTGATGAACTCAAGCGCAGGAAACGAGAAGTAAATAAAAATGACAAGGAATCAATAACACCCACGATGGGAAAAAACAAACTGACTAGCTTATCTCAGGAGCTGCGACATGATAAGACCAAAGCTGTGCGTGGCAATCTGGCTAAATAATAAATCTGCGCTGCATACAAGCAGACGCACACTATAAATAGCCCAAAGCATTAAAGGGCGACAAGTTTTATTTGTGTTTTTGATGTGCAATAGCCATTTTTGATTTGCAGTAGCGTTGTGCGCACAAAGTTGTGTTGTGGTTTGCAAATATATCATAATGTGTTACCTCAGATCTACAACTTGGAGCCACTGTTCATTAATGCTGGACCGTCGCTACTTTTGACCGAAAATATGACGCAATTGTTAGAAGCATTCATACTCTGATTGATAACAACATGAAGCGCATAAGTTTCACCATGGATATATGGGCTTGTGATGGCTGCGCTGTAAGCATGATGAGCTCAGTGGATCAGTACAGAGTTTAAACTGCACTGAGCGATGCTGCATTCCCAGGAGCTTCATACACCGGTTCACCGAAACACCAGACATTTGAAGCCATGCTTCTGCGGTGGACTATTATAAAGAGACAATGCACCTGGCGTTTTAATTTATAGAGTAAAAGTCTTTTGTTAATTGTATGGATGTGACGATCGTAGAGATGTTTGTGTTATCTGTGGCTAGCGTTATCTTTTTATTTAGTAGCTGAAAGATATCTGTTATCATTTTTTTTTTTTAATTGTTATTGTGCATCACTACTTCAAACATATGTGTATTGTATTGGTGTGGTTGCTGGTGTTGGTGAGCGTATTGTTTAGGAGTAACTTGATTTTTCATTGCCAACTTTGACAACCTAGAAACTTTAAATAATCGTAAATGTACTTATTGTGCAGTTCTTTGTTTCTATTTAAAATGAGAGTACAACTAACAATATATATTAAGTCAATTTTCCTCCAAAATCTCATTTAAAAAGCCACTGTGAGGATTTGGAACTTTTGTTTACGCTCTCTGTTTCTCCACAGCAACTTTTCAACTGCCAGTTACTCTACCGGCTGAGTCTACCAGACAACGATCTTACGGTGTTGCCACCGGGAATCGCAAACCTCATCAATCTCAGGGAGCTCGACGTCAGCAAGAACAGTAAGAAAAATTAATCTTCTCTTCGTGCATTTTCTTGTCTGGGTTCCGTTGTACCATTTTATGGCGAGGAAAAGTAGCTGAGGGATTTCGGTTAACTCACCAACCTTTATTGTTCAGTTAATTACTTTTTTTTGTTTTTACTCTGACATTATTGGGGTTCTGGGTCAAAAAAAAAATCGTAGGTTTGTTTTAACTTTATGGTTCGTTGGACTGTTTTAGGAAGTATTGTATTTAGATCCGTCACGATTATTAAATAATCGTCTAATCGCGGTCATTACAGATGATCGTTATTATTGCCCACTATTAGAAGACACAAGGGGGCGCTGTAGTACCTGCAGCACTTTACTTCTACCCCTCTCCTTCTGAACTCATTACGCTGAGCAATTACGAGCATTACATTCAAATGATCATACATTCACGGCAGTGTGTAAAACTTTGACCATATATATAAATTGCCAGGGAAATCGTACATTTCCAAAACAGCAATTCCAAATTTATACAGGGAAGTGAGGGAGGAAATCCTCAAGGATTTTAAAGAAATCCATTTTTATTCAGCCACAACAGACATGTGGTCCAGTGTAAATATGTGTTAATGGGAACTTTATGGTAATTGTTTCTATTATTTATACTTTCATATACATTTACATTTTTTTCTTTAAATGTACACATTTCATTTAATAAATTACTTTAATACTTAAAGGCTTTAAGTGTATTAATGTGTTATTGCAAGTGACAATTTACAAGGGATTCAATTAAATAATCACAACAATTTGTATGACAATTAATCGACAATGCCCTAAAACAGACAATTAATCGTCATGATCGCAATTATTGATTGGGCAATTAATCATCAGCCAAATATCATAATCGTGACAGCCCTAATAGTATTCATTTTTCACTAGGGATTCAAGGAAGTAGACCTTCTCTTATGAAGGGGTGGGAATCTTTAGGTATATTTGGATCCATTTATGGTCTATTCAATTAATAAACTGTTGTTGATGCATAACCAGGAACACTTTAAATTAGCAACCGTATATGATGTGGTGCGTACCTGCTTTATAATTGCGGATTATTTAATATGGCCAAAAATCCTTCGCAATAAATAATGTGATTTATTTTTTTATGTGCATTGTATTGAGGGTATATTCACCATTGCTAACTCAAGTCAATTAATAGGTGCTCATCAGCATTCTGTACCTAGTGGTGATGCTAGACAAGTTTCGGGAGCAGATAACTGACCATGGGCGGCCCTCCCAATCTTCCATGTCAAACCTCCCCTTATAAGCAGTCAGTCTAATCTGGTTCCCTGATGATCAGCAGCAAAAAACACCCCCCCCCCCCCCTCACCAGGCATTTTGCATTCAAGCATGCGCGTGTGTGTGTGTGTGTGTGTGTGGGGTGCTCCTTCGGGCTTCCCTCTGTCCTGGAACTTGAAGCCCTCCTTCGAGCCAATACTGCTTGCACAACCAGGGCTTAATTTATGTAGATGTGCTCTAATGAAATTGGTTATTGCTTTGTCAAAAGCTGTTTAATTAATAAATATAATATTTTTTTTCTGGTGACGGAAACTTGTAAAAGCAATAGAAGACTATTGGCTGTTGCCTTTCATTTGGATGTAGTCGTCTGATGTGGTTCCTCATATTTGTTTTGTAGCAGATGTACATTATTTTATAATGGCACAATGTAGGCGTGTAACAATATATCATCAAACAATATATTGTGAAACAATATTTCGCAATTCAAAATTGTCACAATATTTATCGTGGAGCTATCTATGATATATTTGCTTCTTGGAGTGACTGTAGTCACTTCTGCAACTTCTTTTTGTTTTACGTAATATTTCTTGAAGACTATTTTCCTTTACTTGTATTTTAAATGAGAAAGATTATTAAGTTAGCTCACATAAGAGTAAAAAAATGACTTAATGCAAGCACTAACACTGCCCCCTAGGGGATGGATGGTATTGAATGCTCTCATACAACTCAAACCTAGCCTTCTTAGCTTTGTGGTCATTTTAAATCCCATTTTTTCCAATGATTTTTATAAACAGTTTCAATAGTCAGTTAAAATAGTGTTTTAAAGTAGTGTGATGCATATTGTATCGTGGACATAATATCGAGCTGTGTATCGTATCGTGAGCAGAGTGTACTTTGTAATTCTTGTAGTCCAGGTGTTGAACTACAGATAAAAAGTCCCAAAGTTTAATTCCTACAGATATACATTTCTTTAGATTATCAGTGCTTAGCTTTTGATCACTCAGAATACAACAAGATTGAATGGCAGTTGTGCCCTAGTGGATAAGGAGATTGACTGGTGATAAGATTTGCTGGTTTGAACCCCAGCCCACTGCGAGTTAAACGTGGAGAGAGTGTTCAGACCTCACTCGCTCCCACCAATGATGACCACAGCTGAGGTTTCCGCCACTGCTCCCTGGCTGTATTGCTGCTCACTGCTGTATTCCTCTTTATTTAGGTCGTTCCCAAACTCCACATGGCAATTCCCTAGTTTGTAAAGATTGTGTTCATATTTCACTTGGGGCTCAAGGATATTTGATGTAGATCTGCACTACTTTACTCTGTAAAAATCTAGTTGACATCAACAATTGTTATGTACTTTATCTGATGAAGTACGGGCTGGGCTTTTTTATTTATCCATTCCAAAATGAACACTAATGTCTAAGTAGATAAATCAGAATTTATCTGTCTGCTGCATCAGTTCGCTGCTTAATTCTTATTTAGTTTTAGGTGGCATAAACCTTACGGTTTTAGACATAAAAAAAGTGTCTAACTTCAAATTAAAGGCAAACACTAGAAAGATAATTTAAGGTAGCAAATGGAAAACGCTGTCGGTGGAAACCATTTCATTTCTTCTCAATTAGGCAAATCACAAACTTAAATCACTCACATTGTGTTCACACAACACTTCATCTTTCAACTAGTGTGGGGCAGATTCTGATAAAGTCCTGACAGACAAGTTCAGAGCTGCACAGGGACACACTTTCCTACAAGAACAACGTAATCATTGTTTCTAATAAACTGTTGTTGGTGAAAAATAATTACCTTTTCTTTATGTATTCATTTGTATTTTTTATGCTTGCTGTATCGTAAGTCATTTATGAAGAATCTCAATGTGTCTCAAAGGGTAAAGGGCGGGAAAAAGCTTTGGGATCCACTGCTTTAGACATCATCTTTAGACAAGTTTATTTGAAACCTGAACAGCGTTTTTTTTTTTTATTTTGTTTGAACTTTCAGGCATTCAGGAGTTTCCCGAAAATATCAAGAACTGTAAAGTTCTGGCCATCGTTGAAGCAAGTGTGAACCCAATATCAAAGTAAGTGTCACACGTGTGAAGAATATCTCTTATGTGTTTGTCCTTACTGATGTACTGAAACTCATGTTTCCTCAAGACTCCCAGAAGGCTTCACGCAGCTCCTCAGCCTGACACAACTCTACCTGAACGATGCCTTCCTAGAGTTCCTACCAGCCAGCTTCGGCAGGTCAGACATGCACACTTTCAGGCTGCTGATCCAAAACACCTGGGTTTGAGATAGTTTGCGTTACTCTAAAAATGTATTTCGCAACATGAAAGATGTTTAAATCATGAAACGTGGCAGTATTTCCAAAGAACATGGATTTTTGTATTCTCTGGAGTTCACATCATGACAAAATGCCTTTACACACCTATGCATCTGCAGCGAAAGGCGGCACTCAGGAACAAAACAAAGCCCGTTGCCCTGGATGTGGCGTTCTCATTGGCTGCAGGCAGTACCCGACGTTATTTCAGTCAGTACATATTTCACATTGCACAACTCGACGTCAGCTCCAGATATTTAACACGCCGATTATCTCACAACCAGCCTGGGACTTTCACAGAGTGAGTCTTTGGCACTTCACACTGTGCGATTGTCCCTCGCATGCACGAGCCCTGATTTGCATGTGATTGTCTGCAACTCAAAGTCCTGCAGTCTAAAACCGGCTTAAAGAGAAGTTTCCTGAAAACGAATAGTTTGTGCCACTGTGTAGCATGGATAGAATTGCAGTTCACAGAAGCGCCATCTAGTGTTCAGAAGAAGGACTGTGCACTCGTTTTATATGCAGAAGAATTTACGTAGATGGCTGATGATGCAGTGGATGCATAGGTGTGCCCTAAAACTTAAGAATTCCACCTTCAGTACAGTTCATCTGAAAATTCTTCAGCAGTACTTTTGGCATGTAAACAAAAGAACCACACGTGTAGCTCTCTTCCGGGTTTATGCCAGGTCATCTGAAGATGCAATTTTGCATTATTCAACTACTTCCTGTGTAGAAAATTACAGTGAACAAGTCATAAATGTAGAAATAACTCAAGATTCTTTGTTTGAATAAAAAAATTGTCTGTGGTATATATTTTTTTCTCCTCAGATTAACTAAACTGCAGATTTTGGAGCTCCGGGAGAACCAGTTAAAAACTTTGCCAAAGTAAGTGGCATTCGTTGATTATTTTGATTAATAATTATTCTAAAAAGTGATGTGTGCCTCTGCTTCCATTCTAATAATCATATTAAAAATAAATGCAATACATCTCAATATTGTTCAGACTTTTGACTTTGCAGGGACAGCTTTTAGAATTATTTCTGGCTAATATTGCATCATGTGAGGACATTTGTTTGGGTTTTGTGGGAGTGTGAGGGTCACATAATGATTTGTTATCCCTGCAACCCTCACGTCTAAATCCAATCATAACATGTAGGTGTTGGTTGGATAAGATTGTCTTTGCCTGCATCTCATTATATCACTAAAAGTACATCTAAAAATGATTTGAAAACGTCAATATTATTTCTATTTTAAGTCAGGTTTGTGAAGCGAATTTCTAAGAGCTCATCCGTGGACACAACCAGGGTGTGGCACTGCTCAGATTTAATGGAAGCAGAGGTTGCTTTGATATGGGATTACATTGAAGCCACAATTTTGAGTGTAAAAAGTCGTATATTGAGAGCGCCAAAAGACCTTTCGCACGAATCTGATCTCCAACTTTGTGAAGTAAATTCTCTTCTTGCAAAGAAAAACTAATTTTGAGCGGGCAAAAACCAATTTCGAGCATTAAATCTGTGTGTGTACGCAAATGATCTGGTTTGCTCTAACATTCAGATGTTGGTCGGCCAATAAGAAAAGTAACTGGTTTGTTTTGAGCGAGTGCATAAATGTGAGGCCAAACATATTTTTACACTCAATTTATTTTTGTGCGCTAATATAATTGCGCAAGAAGAATATTTTATTCATAAAACGCAAGTTGTGCGCATTCAAAATGTATTGCGCTCACTAAATAGTACGGTGTAAACCGCACAGGATTGGGGTTTTGATTTAAGCTCATACTTTGATGCCTGGAGGTTTTCAGCAGGGTTAGACTGGTGTCTCATCTTCCTCTTAATGATACTCCTGAGATTTTTTATGGGGCTCACTGATCCAGCTTTTGGTATCTTTGGTAGTGTTGAAACATGCAACGTCTGGAAAATTAAATCAGCACCTCAATAAGTCAACACCAGGACTGACATGGCAGCACAAATATTAACATGACTCCAAACTCCCAGGACCTTCTTTCCAAATAAATTGCCAACTGTTCTTTCATCTGAAAAGAATACTTTGGTGCACAGAGCGACGCCCGGTTCATGTTCTCTGCGCACCAGGGCAGATGCTTCTGGCCTTGACTACAGGAAATTTGACAACAGCCACAATTAGGGATGGGAACCGAAATCCTGAACTTAATCAGCCCCAGTGCCTAATTATAAAAGACCGGAGTATCAATAGGATTTTTTCTCATAAAGGCAGAAACACAAGCAATCGATCAAAACAAAGTGTAGTATGTGCAGACAGAGAAACGCAAAGTTTTCGACTGCCTTCTGCTTCATCATCCGTCCGCTCGGGTATGTTGTGTTAAAAACACAATAAACATCACATAAGGTCTCTCTCTGAATCAGTATTATAATGTTCAAAATGTAATAATCACAGTCAGATAAGTTAAAACGATAAGTATAGAGAGACACAACGGTCATCTCTCTGTTTAATGCGATGGATTTTCTTGGGCAGAGGTAAAGAGTTGAGATCTGTGCTTTTGTTTGTTTCCCTTGTTTCTGTTTTATTTGCGTTTAATTAAATTGAAGTTAATTAGTATTGACGTGGAGCTTGTGCAGAACATAAAAATATTGGAAAAACAGGGTAATCATTTTAGATGAAAAGAAAAATTCTCACAGTCTGTTTTTCTCTCTTGTTCAACAGTTGCTAGTATTTCTGTCTTTTTCTCTTGTACTTTGTAAAGAAGCTGGTTCACTGTGCTCAGATTATGTTTACCGGTAAATAAATTAATTTGGCACAAATATTGAGCTTTTTTAAAATCTAGAAATATCGAAAACCCAAGCTAATAAATTTAATTGAAACGAAATAATTGTCACAGTCTGTGTCTCTCTTTCTATCTTGCAGATGCTGGTAATTCTTTGTCTCTGCTCTGTCATTATTAAAGCATGCGCTCGGATTGTGCGCTTTTTAATGCGATGTGTGGCGCCTCGCTCTGACACAAAAACATTTATCCAAAAGTCGGGATGCTCGTCGTTTCTCAATCAATAAGAGGATTCCTCTCGGCTGTTTTTGTTTCCAGCGCAGTAGCGGTTTTAGGCACGGGCACCTGCTCGGGGCACAAATTAAGAGAGGACGCCCGCTCGATCAGTACTTAGAGGTTTCAATGGTTTCAATGTTTCATCACCAGATGCCCTTTTATTTCTTTAACTTGTTTCCTTGCTTTAATAATCAACGTAAGTAAGCATTCCTTCCTTCTGTGTCATGCTCTTCACATGTGTTTCCTCAGTGTGAGGCTGCTCTATGACCTCGCTCCTGTAAATGGTTTCTATTTTATTTTAGTCAATGTTGCTCATGATGTTGAGTAGATAAATAATTAGTCCCACGAATAGTTGGACTGTCTTACATCCCGCACATGGGAAATGTACCGCAGCACTCGCATCCACTCAATATATAATATTATAAATGCACACAATATAAAATCTACTCACTTTGTGTTACTTTTTGTGTGAAAGGAGCAAAATAAAATAAGAAAACATTAAACAATATGGTCCTCAACGCCATGGTTAATCGGTCTAGTATCAATAATTATTTTGCATTTAAAATATATAGTGTTGTTATTTCTGTTCTTAATGTGTTTTTTTTTTTTTTTGTTAAAAACACTAGGGCTGGGCGATATGAAGCAAAAAATATATCTCGATATTTTGCTATATCTCGATATACGATATATATCTCGATATCTTTACAGGATTTATAACCCCCCCCCCCACCCCCAAAAAAACCCTACTGCAAAAAAAATAATAATA